ATTTTTCATGGAAGAACTTCCATCAGTTAAGATGCTAATGATGTTTGTCTGCTTGTAGCCAAAGAACAAGCAAGCTTGTTCAAAGAACTCACCAGGCTCCCAGTGATCCAGACTGCACTATAAAAATCCTCTATGATTTACAAAATCATCAGGATAGAACATCTATTCCACCAGAAACAATAGCTAGATTATCCCTTTAAGTTTGACTATAGCCTTTAAAAGAAAAAAGAGTGTCTGGAATATTTTTATGGAAAACCTATTTCAAGGTTCTCAGGAGAACTGAGCTGGAAAAATCACCATGTAATGGGATCAACTATTACAATTTCAGGGCTGGAAGTGGCCAACATGATTTCTCAGTGCACACTGCCAATGAAAGCAATCCTGCAACTCAAAGGGCAGGAGAAGAGTTAAAGGCAATAATAGCCCTGTGTTCAAAAGTTAATCATTTACAACAACACTGAAATCATGCTGCTGAAAGGTGATATAGTAAAGACTAGAAAATAACACATCCTCTGTTTTTCAGAGGACTGACATCACTTTTGTGTCAAAATAGAAGGAAGTCTCAGCAAATTGCCCAAACATCCAGCAGGAGATCATGAGAAAACCCAGTGTCTTTCAAACTGTGGAAGCAGCCTGTGGGAAACTTAAGACACATAGGGGAAGAAATCCTTATTCAAAGTAAAAATTATTTTAGACTGCATTTGCATTCTTTCAGGAACATGCAAACATGCAAAATGTCACTAATTACAACTGTCAATCACAGAGCAGACCAAGTCTCCAGCAATAGAGCAAAGGTTTCAAAATGAACAGAGCAGGAATTTAGTTGCATTATTACTCCCTGGAGATTATAACAACGCTGTAAGCAAGCTAGGGTTATTTTCACTTTGACACCATGTGTTAGGAACCATTTGAAACGAGATCTTGTCACAGAACTGGAAATTCCATATTAAATATCTCAGTCAGTAACTTTAAAAGTGATTTTCAGTGAACAAGAATTTGCAGCATGAAACATCGAAACTTCAGCAGCTTGCCCCAGTAAATCAGTGTTCACTTAGAAGGAGCCATGCAGAACAGGCCCACTGGGAAGGCTGTGCAGCTGTGGAGCATTGGGGTGGCTGGGGCAGAGGGCAGCAATGGCACACTGGGCTCACATGGGGCAGCTCATCTGCCCATGGTGCAGGCAGAGTGAACTAGACAGAACCTCCCCTCCTTCACAATAAAAATTCCAGAAACAAACTGCAAGTTAGAGGATCTGATGACATCATCACCCAAGGCTTCAATATGGCCAACCCCTCCCTCCTCCCAAACTCTGTATGAGCCTGGGAGCAGCAGCACAAGCTGCTCTACAGTATCTTGTCAAGCCCCAGCAGCAGCAGGGCTAAAAAGGCCAGTTCAGTCCAGCCTGTGAGGCTGCTTTGCTGCTGGCCATCCCCATGCAGCCTGCCTGCAAACACTTCCCTGTTAGGGGGTTAGCCTTTATCTCCCAGAAATTTGTCAAGCTCATTGGCAGGTGGTGAGGCAAAGGCAACAAAATGGGCTCCTGTAGCTTTGGAGCAAGCTGGTCCAGCTGACCTGAGGCATCAGCTAGGAAAAGCAAAGGAAGCAGAAGCCTTGCTCTGTTGGAAGCAGAAAAGCCAGAAATCAGTGAAAGCATTTCAGGGAACTTCAGTCTTTGTGTGCAAAGTTCTGGCATCCTGCTGACATCTCCTGAGATTTTACATCTTCACTTACCTATGTCGAGCAATAACTTGCATTGCTTGGAAATTTCCAGCTTTGCACATGGCCTCAAAATTAGATCTGCTGTTCTCAAAATGTTGTTTGTGCCACACCTCCCAATGTCTGTAGAGAGCTGGTCTCACAGCACTGGCTCTTCTTTGTCAGCTAAGTTGCATTAGACAGAATCTAAAAATACATTAAATACTTTCTAATATTACTTTTTGACATAAGCAGTTACTATAGCTGCAACAAGGATGTTGCAAGAAAGTGCACGAGGTTGCATAACTCTCCTCCGTACCCACAAACTCCTTTTATTCAGCTGGGATATGTGGACTAAAAGGTCAAAAGGCTTTGGGATAGGGGTTTTTGTTTCAATGCTTGCCTTAGCATTCATACTTTAACAAAATATCAAAAACAACTTCAGGAACTCAAATGAGCAGTTCATCTCCTTTTACTTCAAAAGGAGGCAACTAATTTAGCTTAGCTACAAAAATCTACCTGCAATGCAAAATTCAAAGAGATGCTGCCTAATATGTGACAGTCTGACAGATAATAGTTGACAAAAAAGCAGCATCTGAGCAAGCTGGGGGTCTGTTAATTGAGAGGGAGTTTAACAGCACAGAGAACCCACCAAATACCCTGTGTTTATCACACAGAAGTAGCTTTTTTTATACCAATTGCACAGAGATGTAGCTCTCAAGAAACATCCAGTTTGGTATTCATTAATTTACAAAGCACATAGAGGAGACAGCAGTACTTCTGAAATAAAGGCAAACCAAGGCCCTGGAAGGCTTACAAGTCCAGTGTTTCTTGTCCAGCAACAGTGGTGGATGTGAAATGAGAGCCCACATAACCCTGCTTGCTCTAGATACCAACCCAAGCTTCCACCCAAACATACCAAGAAAACCAATTTTAGAATTAGTGTCTTTGCTTGCTCCCCAAATCCTTGACTGCAGCCCTCATGCTTCTGGATAAATCCAGTAAATTCTTCAGTGTCTGCAAACTGGTCTTTAAAAGGGAGGGATTAAAATAAAAAATTCTTTCTTGGGAAAGCAGTTGAAGGTGAATAACCATTCCCTGCACTTGTGCTGTCACTTCTGTGAAGCTGCTATGGCTGCTGTTATGATGTGCTTCTCTTCTGCACCACTTCATTTGCTCAAGTACAAAACAGGGATCATTTAATTAGTGAAATCTGGATCCCCAGAATACAGACTGCTCACTTTGTTGAACAAACCAGTATTGCCTTCAAATAATAAAAGCACTTATCTGAAGTGCTAGTGGAAGAATTCACTCACTCACCTTCACTTAAGGGGCAGTTTGCTCAGCCCTCTGTAAATTCCTACTGTCCAGAGCTGCATTGCTTCTGATTCCAAGGAACCTCAGGAGGATCCTTCCTCAGTAGAGGAATAAATTCATCTCTTTTAGATCTCTTAAGCTTTACTGTGGTTTTATGGCTGCATCAGTTCCTTCCTGCTAACAGAAGCACACTGGTCAATCAACCCACTGCTCTATAATTAAATCAGCTGTAAGACCTCCAGGGCTCATTTTGTACACACCAAATCCAAAACACTAATTGTGAAGATCCTGTCAGAAGGGAGCTCATAGCAACTCCTAGTTCCCATGGAAAGGTGACAGATATGAGCAAGTTATCAACATACTTCCACAGCAGTTCTAAATTCATCTTTATCATTCCTGTGCACTCTTCAAATATTGCTACATAACAAAAGCTAAATATAAAAAATCCAAGGTCTGTATTGTGCATTGAATGTCCTTTTTATATTAACTCCTTCCACCCTACAAACACTCCCAGCTGTAAATTCACTTTGTTCTTCAGCTCCGCATGGGAAATCCACGCACCCGTCCCCAAGCCTCCAGCACCACTGCCTGCACCGTAATTTCAGCATCCATCACAGACAAGCATTTCTTTCTCTTAGAGAAAACTATGAAACAATTGCAGGTTTTTACAGACTTCTCTCCTGCCTCACAGAAGCCAACCAGACCCAGGTCTCCCAGCCATAACCTAGGGAACTACACAAATACATCAGCAGCCATGGCAGGAAGGTCAGTGTTTGCTGTCTCACACATTTGCAAATTCTTTGATAGTCAGTTTGAGCTTTGACTGCCTCACATACAAACCAGGAGATATTTTATTTCCTTTCTGCTCCATCTTCCTACTTCCCAATCACTGCTAAGTTAACATGTCAATAGCATTACCGGTATCTTTAATATGTCAGCAGAGTTAAGTAGTGAGCAAGTAAGCCCAAGGGCTTCAGAAGTATGGTGGTTATCGTGCTTCAAGCCAAGCAAAGAACTTAGTGCTCCCTCTTATGAAAGGAGTTTTTATTTACCAATGCTCCCCAAAACTATTTTTAGTAACCTTGCATTTCCATCCGCATGTAAAAACACTGTTTGTGTTATACCATGAATAAATACAAAAGAAAAAGAGCTTTTCCCACAACAGCCTTGATGGGCTACTTTTAATTAAAATCAGTTTAATGATTGATAAGCTCTAGTATTTCCAGCAGCAAATCATAAGTGGTCGATTGTTTCCAGACACAGTGAAAAAACTGAAGATAATGTAACTACATAAGCTAGCACAGTTAGTTGGTTTACTGGTTATCAACATAGGAAAAATTTGAGGGTTTAACATGTTAATTCATGAGCAAAAACTATCAGTATTTTGTAGGAATCAGAAAGTTCAGCTATATAAACTTATGGAATCATTGTTTCCAAGGCTTACTTTTAGTCTCTCACAGAATTACTTTTGACATGTTTCCTACATCAGAATGAACTAGCAAGAATTTTCAGCTTCTGATTAGTATTTAGGAAGAGGATGTCCCATATATTCAACTCAGTACAGTTGCTACTTAAAAGGGTTCTTCACTTGTGCCTCTTAAGCAAACAGAGGAACACTGCAAATACCTGTGACCTCATGTCCTTCCTTTGCTCCCTGGGCTCACAGAGGCAGCAGAAGGCAATTCCATGTGTGCCTGAGCACACACTTGTGGCAACATCTCCTCCTTAGAAACAGAACAAATCCTCTACAGCTGATCAGCCATAAAAGAAACCAAGGTTTCATTCAACACCATAGAGAAAATAGGAGTGAGTATAGGGAGTGTGAAATCCTAGAGCTCTAATGGGACCCCCCCACTAGCCCTGCATGTCTTCCTTGGTCACTGTCACCAAGAATGCAGTGCTGTCTCAAACAGCTGCTGCATCCACCTGCTTTCCTCAGCCAGTGCTGGTGGGAGGAGCAGACAACACACAGGAGGAGCATTTCCCCTTTTGTACTGTTATTTTATTTTGTAGTAAGATCCATGTAGTATATAAAATTTAACAGGAAAAACTGAACAAAGCCTAGAAAATGAACCGAGGAGTTCAGCTGATGAACCACTACAGCTCTACTTCCATGGGTTCATGAAGTCTCCAGAACTCACAGACTGTTTGCTTGTTCTATTACAGTTCTCTAGCATATGAGCCTACACCAAAAGCTGATATGTTCCAATTAAGCCATAGTTAAGTGACAGATGTAGAGAAAAAAAAAAGTGGCTTTTGTAAGCCACAGCTGCCCTTGACAGAGGTTACAATGATGTCTAACTATACTTTAATGCACGTTACATCAAGAATCTTGAAAGAGCCTCTGAGAAAACGGCTTCACATTAAGCATTTTAAAGAAAGGTCATAAATACTGCACTGTACCAACAGTACCTCCCAATGTCCTCCTTATGCCTGAGGAGCACTTGTGTTTTGTAAGAAGCTACTACATAGATGACACCAAACCTAGAGGTAGGTTATAGGCCAAGGTAAGTTACAGGCAAAAAAAAACAAAAAAAAACAAAACACCAAAATAAAAAAGAAAAATATCCCTTTAGAGCTAGTCACTGCACAGACTGCCCAGCAGGAAGCAAGGCAAAATGTCAACAACTCTTTTCTCCCACCCTAAACATTGCTCACACAGTGCATTTAGTTCCTAGTGCCCTAAGAATGAAAGTGGATCATCAGCTGCTAGTAAATGCAGTCATGCCAAGAAAACAGCTTGAAGTTATTCAAGCAAAAACTTGTTACTGTGCAAAACTGGTGCACTGGACTGTTACCAACCAGACCTCCAAGCTTAGGAAGTGACCCCACAGTAGAGAACCAAGGTGGTTTTCTTTTGACTGGGAAATACTTTAGTAACCAACAGGAGAACATACTGCTAAGCCTACATGGAAGGAGTCAAATACCAGCTTGTATCAAAACTTTAGAGACCAAAAAACAAAGCAAAACCAAAACAAAATGAAAAAGGTTTAAAATAGCACACTTTGATGAGACCAAGTTCTTAAAAAGTTACTGTACCAAACAAGCTGCTAAAACAGCTCATCTCCCCTAATATCTGGGATCAACACAAGGTTGATAAAAAATATGTGTACACTGAGAAACACACCTGAAAGTACAATAATTACAGCAAATTAACCCCAAGTTTTAATGGTGTAATGCCTTCAGGTCACAAAATGTGGACAAAATGTTAATCTTAACTCCCTCTGTACACTATTTGGTGATAATCAAAGTAACAATGCTGAAGATTCATTTTATTTCTATTTCCAAAGGAAAAGGGTAGATGGTTAAATATGTGTTTCCAATTTGTTCTCCACTATACGTACACCCACACACATACACACATACCCCTCAAACTGCACTGACATTTCTTTTTGACCAAAAGAGTAGATCCTGGGAGTAAGTGCAAAATGCAAAATCAACTGACAGAAAATGCTGAACAAACAGCATCATAAAAATACAAAATATTTATATTACTGAACTATTAACAGATGATGTTCTCTGTTTCTTTAAAACTTTGGAACCACATAGCTGATTTCTTAAATCTAGTCCATGCCAGCTTCCAGAACTATTAATGTTTTAGTTAGCTTCATTCTTTGATGCTTCATCAAAATTTTCTACGAGATCTGAAAAAGATGAAGATATTTAATACAGTAATGCCCAGTAAGATTACCTTTTTAAGTTTAATGAAAATGAATATAATTACAGGAAAGGTTAAGTAGTACTTAATTACACTTAGGGAAACTATTTCTTTATGGGCAGATTTCAAGGGGCTTAGAAAATACTGTTTAAACATACACAAAGAACTAGAAATGCAGAAACACGCCAACAGTGAAAATTCTAACATTAAGTGATTAAGAGCTGATTTTCAAAGGTGCTCTACTAGCTTCAGTTGAGTTTTGAGCATCAGCATTCTTTAAAGAATGCCTGACATTTTAGGGAATTGAACTTTATGCAAGGCCACAAAAAAATAAACCAGTGCCGAGGCACAAGGAATTGAATCTCTGGTCCACACATATGTTGCTTTAGCTAACGCACCATCCTGAAGGATACAGTGGAATGTGCGTATTGACAAAACAGTTATTCACTGACAAATAAAGAACTTATCATAATTACTTCCAGACACTGACATAAGCCTGTTTTCTTCTGCTACAGAAATAAAAATTCCCACTCTGGACCCTGATATTAAAACAATCTGATAACTATGCCAATTATGTGATTTTGCAGTCTTAAAATCTCCATTTGGATATTTAGATACCTGTTTGACCTCACTGAAATTATTTTAACCTAGTTTCACTTAATAATTAAAGTAGTTGCACAAGGTAATCCCTTTTTCAAAAACTGGAATCCCAAGTTGTGTTTTAATGCTCTCCTATATAAGACTCCCTTAGCAAGTGAGGAGTATAATCACATCAAAAGCAACACATTTAAATGAATGAATCAAAATATTTATATATTAAGTGGACCTAAAAGTGTGTCTGTGCCTACCTGGGACATCATCATCTTCTTCATCAATATCTTCAGATTTTGGTGCTTTACTATCCAACACTATAAAAAGAAATTTGGTGCTGAGTTCTCGTGATACACATTCAGGGACACTCACACAACAAAATAAAAATCATACATGTGAAAAAAGCCAGCATTTCCCCAATCCCCAATAGTGACAACACACACAAATGACCAGGTACTGAGAGTTAACAGCATGACCAAAAGGTGTCTTTGGGGACATTCTGACAGCAAAGCATCAGCAGAGCCATTTTCAGATGCTGTGGGGTATTCATAGGGCTTGCAAAAGATCAAATGATACAGAGAACCCCCAGCATGGCTTGATCTTCGAAGTGAAGTCAGGTGTTTGAATGCAACAGTAATACAGCATCCACCAGTGACCAACATATCATATGGTTCTAATACACTTATGATGATCCATCTCTCTAAATTTTAGAAGCATTTTACAAGTTACTAAAGGAGAAAAACAAACCCTTTACTTTCACTTTAACTCTGAACATGAATGTTGGAGAAATTAAAACTGATTTAAAAGGAGTAAGTATTTGTTGAAAACATTAGAACAGGTGATGTATATTCCATTCCAAACACAGACAACTGTAACACATCCAACTACAGTAATCTTAATGGCCATAACAGTCTGAACTGGAACTGTACCTAATCTTAATTTTTTAACTGTAAAATTACAGTGTAGTAGTTATACCACATACACCCCTTCACCCATGCTCCCACGGTTTTAATAGAAAAAAAAAGAATCACATGCATAACTGTGATTTGGGTTTTTTTTTAGTTTTCCATTAAAACTTTGATTTTTAACTAGTTTTTTGAAGTCTTGGTTGAATTCTGTAGTGAACTGTAGAACAAAAGAATGTATTTCTTTGTCTATAACTGCAATAGAAATATGTTTTGTATGAACAAAGAAAACAGAATAGATGTCCTGACAAAAATAACTGGTTGAGTTTTTCAAAGTTAAAACATGAACTTGCTTTCCCCTAAGCATTCTGCCATACACAGCTGTACACCTGCTATGACAGCATGCCAGACTTACCTATTTCTTTTAAATCAGGACCTGCCTATGTAATCTTGAATCAACAAAGATAAAAAGAAACTTCTTCCCCCACCCTCTACTTCCACAACAGTGGCAAATAAATAAAAGCACACACACACTTCTGACTTTTTAAGTCATATGCTGTTGTTAAATTTGGGTTAAAACTTTTAGTACTTTGTATGTCCTTTAAGTCAGCTATGAAAGATTCCAAAAAGACCTACCTTGTCTTGGGAATTGTTCAGCTAACTTCCTGAGACTTGTTAAGCTGTCAGCACCAAGCTGGCTTAAGATGCCTGGAAGCATTTCTGTGATCGGTTTAGCCTCTGCATGACCAGTAATTGCAAAGGTGTTGGCAGAGAGGGAAGCTTGAACCTTGGGGTTGTTGAAGTGAATAACTGTTCCATCGTCTTTTATCATGTTCACCTGTTTAAATACATTAATAACACTTACCAAAGTGCTGCAGCATCTTGTTATCAAGCATAATAACTAAAATCTAGATTTGAAATATTAACAGGTACAGAACTAGCACTTCTCCTAAAGGACAATATAATCATGATAAAAGCACCCAGAATTAACACCATCTAAAGTGGAAGCTCCAACAGCAGCACCTTGCCACATCAGGTTAAGCCCCTGCCTTTCACAGGTACCTGTGTGTCACCCACCAGGAAAACACTCCTGCTTCTGCCCAGCTGGCAAAAAGCCCAGGACTCACATGGCTCAAGGCAGGGATGCACACACAGCACTGGGGGATTATGTACCAACTGCACTAGAACAGACTTCCAATACATTCCAAATAATTCCACAAGGGCTCTTAAGATTAAGGATACCAAACAGTGATCCTGCTTTCTTCCTCTTCCCCGGCCTTCTGAATCACCAAGAATTCTATTTTACAGCCAGTGTAGTGGCCTGCTTCAGAAAGTTGAAAAACTTTTTCTTCTGGCCATGTCTAAACTATTATGTGAAAAATAATTCTGTCTGACTGTAGGAATAGAGTTCTACCCATCCAACACACAGTGTTATTAAACTTATGTGAAAAAATTATTAAGCAATGTTTTTAAGTTACAGGGAGAAAAGAGGGATTCAGAACTAAAGATGACATCTAAAATACAAAAACATCTAAATTCTCAATCCTCACACAGCAGCAGAGTTCCAAATATGTTTTCAGCAGGAAATCCAGGTGTGCTGTTCCTGCAAAACTAAGCAATGTCCTGTCTTTTGCCCATGGGAAAATGGTAAAGGCTTCAAGCACAGTCATCCTGTTACTTAAAAGGCTCTTTCAAAATGACACAAATGTGTTACTCATGCTTGACTCAACATTCTTCTATCTGCACGAAGCTTACCAAGGTCAACTTGCGTTCACTTGAATAAAACATTCCACAATTATGTCTCTTGCTATCAAGGTAGAAACATTTTGCATCATCTTCCTACACGGTGAGATATTTAAAATCCTTAATAACTGTATCTGAATAAAGTTCCTGTGCTCTGTGCAGGAAAAGAAACCCTGAACATACACTAAGAACCATGTCTTTCTATAATTCATATAGCTCTGCATATTTGTAGTAAGCTTAAGAAAACAGACAAACTGAACTGTTTCTGTAACAGAGGTCTGAAAACTTACAGGTAAACCACACCAAATCTGCATCTGCCTTTGGAAGGGAGGAATGCACATAGTGACTTCTGCATGCACCTTGTAATCCTGCTTCAATTAATTTAGTCACAGATTAAATATTGTTCTTCTTTAACCAGGTAGTACAAGTACTACAGCAATGCTGCATTCACGATGGAGGAACCTCCTCCCATGTATGAGGGTCACTCTCAACACTGTTATGGAAAACATGTTTTATTAATATTTGTAAATTAGAGGTATTCAAGGAACATCTGAAACCTTCACATTCCCACTTACATTAACACAGAACCTGCTTCTGTAGAGTCTCTGCAGTGTTTTAAAAATCATGTCCTGTAACTACTGCAAACAATTCCAGCAATTTTTATATAGTAAAACGTCCTAATTTTGATAACACAGACTCAAGTTCTTACTCAAGGTGTTTCTAAACTTTCCTTCATATTCTGCACCACAGTTGCTCTAGATGTGCCTGCACAATCTGTGTACATTTACTGCTCTTTAGAGCAGGTAATCAAGTTCACAAAAGTCAGGAATGAAGAGAAGTTTTGTTCTGCAATGAATTAAAGACACACACACATACACAGAGCTTACTACTCCACTACACACTGCTTGGCCAGCAGACCCTTTACCCTTCCTTCTGGTATATACACATTCATGCCAATGAGACAACCATACATCAAACAACATTACCCCTCAGTATCCAAATCTCCATGGTTTTGCTTGGAAGATAAAACTGTTTTCAAAACCAAAAGCAAGCCCTACCACACCACCATCAAAATAAGAGAGTGAATTTAATTTCAAACAGGAAACACTTATTTTTTCACTATACCTCTTCAATGCCAGCAATGTTATTTACTGCCAGTTTTTTGAGGGAGCTCTGAAGTTTTTTGTCATCAGCTGTAGCTGTTCTGTGCACCACCTTCTTCTTTCTGCGAGCTGTACCCTGGGAAGAATCAAGAGACAACAGTCAGGTCTGTTCAAAATCTCTCCACACTAACTGCAAAAGTCAGGCCACAGTCTGAGCAACATCTTTCAAGTTATGAGGCACTTCTGTAGACAAAATTGCTTCTCAGCTTATTTCCCTTTACCTATTAGCTTTGGCCATCATTCCTAATTTTAATTTTTTTCTTAAGCATAAAAGACCAAAGAAATACCAAAAAGCAGCATATTTTCCTTTCCACTAACCCAGACTACAAAAGTATTACTTAATATTAAGCAACACGTAACAAAGTTTCCCCAAGACATCTTTTTCCAAAACAAAGCACAAACACAGTGATTTAAATGGTCCCACTTTGGCAGCCAAGTAATTAACACTTTCAGAGTGTTCCACAGACAGCAATTTTGGAATTCCTGCTTTGCAAACTTTTGTACAATCATCCCTATGACAGGGGATAAGCACCCACACTGAACAAACTACATGCCTTTTTATTGGTCATATTAACTACCCACTAGCTCAAAGAAAAGAAACAGCTCAGTGCACAGCCAGTGTGTAAAGCAGGCACAAAGAAGAAAATCCCCAACAGGGAGACCCAAAAGGCAGAACAGGTGAGCTTAGCTGGAGCTTTCACAGGTCACAACAAGTCACTGAATTAAAACAATGCTTGCACACCAGAAACTGCTCATGCAGCAGTTGCAAACTGAAAGAGACTTGCATTTCAGGTAGCTGCACTATAGGCCACATCACACAAAACCTGTATTGGTCAAGCCTGAGAATAATTTTTTTCTTCCCTTTCCATGGACTTCAGCTTATGTTTTCAAAAGCATGTGTGCTGGTTTTCTTACCTTTCCTCCTATTCGGACCTGCGCTTGAAGCTTGGCCAGTTTTTCTTGGTTCATAGTGCTACGTCTAAAGAGCAAGAACAAGTTCAACTTAACCATCAAAACAGTAACAAAAAAAGGTCACCGTCCATTTTAAGAGTACTCACAATTGCAGTGAGTTTCTCAAACTTCTAGAACATCACCCAAAACAGTATGTCAAACACACAAACAGAGCTTTAAAGCCACACCACCTAAGCGATCCTTAGTGGTCCTGCAGTAGGAAGGACCCGCATTTAGCTGAAGTGTTTGTGCTACGATGAGGCAACTCGACAGGATATTTCATTCTGCATCAGGCCGAGGTACTCATTTCCACAATACCAGTTTACTGCTGTAACTATTGAACTGAATTACTCACTCCAACCAGACCCAAACCAGCACATACAAGACAACTGGGTCTGGGAAAACACACTTATCTTTACGACAGCCCAGGGACAGATTAATCACTAAACTACTTGGAATAGCATTCATATAATGAATCCATGATACTTATGACTAATAAGCGACATCCAAACTCTGTGAAGTTCGTGTATGGACATATTTGCTACGTGAACTTCTGGCAGCTCTTCATCCAATATAGTGACTGGGAAGTTAGTCCAGTGCTTCTCCCACGGGTCAGGTGCGACCTTTAAAGGCTGAAAGCCCTGAAAATCCTAATGGGTGAAAAAACGCCTCAAGGTTTCCAGCAAAAGGAATGCGTTTCACTGCTCTGCCCCAGCAAGTTATCAGTGATCCCCGGAATGATGGGGAAGTCTCCGCATGTGCTTTGTGCCGGGAACGACCGGGAGAAGAGCGGGAGCGAGGCAGGGATCGGAGCACGGAGGGACCCCGCGGGGCGGCGGGAGAAGGGGCTCAGGGTGGCTCGCTGGGCAGCCCCAGAGCACGGGGAACGGAAGGGGAACACGGCTCATCCCCCGAGATCCCGTGTACCCGCGGCCCCACGGGACAGCCGCGGCCCCGCGAACCAGGGCAGCCCCCGCACAAGGGGGTCAGTCGCTCGCTCGGCCTCTCCTCGGGGAACGGCCCAGCACAACCCAAGGGGATAGGACCGAGCTGCCACGGCGCCCCGCCCGCCTCAGGCCAGCGGGGACGCGGCGCTATCAGGACACGGAGACACCGGGACACGGGAACAGCGGACCCCCTCACCTGAGCGCGGCGGAGCCCCCGCTGCCAACACGCGGCGAGAACAAGATGGCGGCCGAGGAAGGAAAGAGAGGCGCACAGAGAAAGGAAGCGCCGCGCCACGTGACAGCACCTGCCCGCCCGCGGATTGGCGATCCCGCCCACTTCATTTACATAGAGGTGGGCGCGTGCGCGCAAGGTCTCCTGGGAGTTGTAGTCTCCGATGAGACTGCCCGGGGCAGACAGCGGTGCCCTGTGGCCTAAATCCGGGACGCGGCGCTTCCAAACGCGTCACCACTCGCTCTGTCCCCCTTAGTGAACCCTCCCTCACACGATGCGCTTGCGGTCAGTTTTGCCTTCCCGACACCTGGGCAACTCCGGAGAGCAGCGGACAAGAGGGTTTATTTGGGAAGGAGAAAATAAATCCGGAACTACCCCGCTCCCACCGCTGCCTGCTCCTGTCGGGATAACGCTGGGGTTTGCCCAGGGGGAGTAACCAGGGCTCTGGGGCTCCGGTGCGATGACCCCTGCCCCGGGGGTCCCGGCTCCCTGTAAGAAGCTGAGCTCATCCCGAGCTCCCCACACCGCTCCCGCCCGGGGCCTCCCCCGTCACCCCCGGGCCGAGCCGTGAGGGCGGCGCACCGCCCACATCCGCCACACATCACTTCCTGGGCTTTAAAAAACGGGATAAAAAAAAAAAAAAAAAAGAAAAAAAAGCCAAGCTAAGCGGGTCCTGTCTTGTCCGGAGGTTCGGGGCCGTACCCGGGTACTGCCGCTGCCCGCGCCAACACCATGAAGGCTCAGCCCGCGGCAGCCTCCGTCCTCTGCCTGTGCCTGGTGCTGGCGGCCTGCGCCGCCTCCGCCGCGGGAGGGCTCGGAAAGGGTCAGATAAACGCTTTCTTCGGGCTTTCCCCAACTTCTGTCCCCACTCGGGCTGGGTCCGGTCCCCTCAGCCCCCGGGGGCCGCCGGGCGGGGGCAGAGAGCGCAGCTTCGGGGTCTGGAGGTGTGGGAGGGCTTTGCGGGGTTTCCGCCGTCTTGGTTCGGTTCTGCTGAAGCCCTTCCTGCGGGCTCCGCGGAGCCCGGGGGGAGCAGCCCTTCGGTGCCCCCGTACCGAGTGCCCGGTGCCTGCCCGGCCTCCGCCGGGCTCCTGGCAGGAGATGAATGGCCTTTCCCTTGCTCTTCGTGACCGCTCCTCACCTCGCTCTTGGCTTGCCCAGGCTCCTGCTCTAATTACCGTGTCTAATAGCCCGGGTCACCTGGGGCCTGAGCTTCACCCCAGGTGGTGGCTTTGCCGTAGAGGTAAATCTCCTCCTCAAGGCTGGTTGTAACAAATTTCATTAATGACAGCAAAGCCGTGGTGTGGATCCCAGCCAGCCATTCACCTTTTAATTCCCCAGATGACTTTCATTCAAAAGATACACTCTATAATGTGTTGGGCAGTGCTTTTAAAAACACACTGAAGCTCACCACAATGTGGGGTTTGTTTTAAATATAGAAAAGCATTTGAGAAGTGTTTCCCATCTAGAACAACAGAAGGTTTTCCCTGCTTTAACATTATGGCTTTTGACTGAAATAGCTGACGTGTCAATATTCTGGGTAAACGTGACATGTACTAATCCAGCTGGGTTTTGCTCTGGGATGTTTAGTTCGTACAAAGGCTGCCTCAGCAGCTGCTCTTTGGGTGTGAGGGGACAGGGAGGAGGCTTCCCCATCCTGCTGTGAGCTCATCTGTTTGATGTGTTGCATCACTAATGTTCACAGTTGCTCATATCAGCAGAGATCAGGTAACACAAACACTGTGCCATTGTCCTTGATGCCTTAAGTTTTAGCTTTTATATTTTTCATATTCTGGGGTGTGTAGTTTTAAGTTTCATGTTAAGTGTTAGTGAGCTCTCTTCACAGAGTAGATAGACAAAATAATTCCTTTTATAGCTTTTCTAGCTTGCCTTCCAGATGCTGAACTGAGTTATCCCAAAGACTTGCTAATGCTGGAACAGGCTTTCTCCAGCTTCTTTGCCTGTGTTGTCTACTGGAGACAATGTCCACTTTCCCCTGTGTCAGCACTGGCGCAGTCTATGGCCCCTGATCTCTGTGCAGCTCCTGAAATCTGCTCCCCTCAGCACCTTGGGCACAGCGGGTTCCTGACTAAGCCGAACCCTTAGGGATGGGAAGGGGCAAGGCTCATGTTTGGCCATCCAGCACAGTAATTGTTAATTACTGGAACCAAGACCTCTGAGGAGGTATTCCAAGAGAGTTCCTCTTTGTACAGCTCCTGGATCTCCTTCAGCTAAGCTCTCCAGGTGGCTTTTGGCAACATGCTGTGTTGGCTACTAAAGAAACCCAACCCTGGCAGTCCTGCTTTGCAGCTGCTAAACGTACACTGACTCACACTTAAGTCAATTGACATTACAGGACTTGTTATCTGGATGCTAGATAAAATATTTCCTGCTTCATTTGGTCACTGTAACGCTCAAAAATCCGTGTAATGGTGTTCTTTCTTGCTCTTCCATGATATTATCATCAGCAGGATCATATGTTGGCCTAGAATTTTTTAAGTTTCAGTTTAGTTCACCTTCAGTGGGATTTAGGAAGTGAAATGCTGACATGTTTAATTTGTCATTCATCAGATAATAAATGTTCAAAGATTAAAAAAGAACAGAGAATAATCAGAAGGCAGTTCAATTTTAATATCTGTTTTGGGGATTTTACTGTCATTTACATATATATATATATATAAATATTCATGACTATGGTATGTTTTTGTTAATTAATTTCAGTGGGATTCCTCATATGACTGTGTGGGCTGTAAGTATTTGCAGAAGTCTCTCCAGAAGTGGGGCTATAGTTGGCTTTAGAAAAGTAATAAAAAATGAGTTGAAAATACTTTCGAGGGTTGGACTATTTTCCTTTGTTAGCTGACATGTTAAATTATGCAGCATTTATAAACCCTTCTCTCTGGCAGGTTTTGGAGATCATATTCATTGGAGAACACTAGAAGATGGAAAGAAAGAGGCAGCAGCCAGGTATGTTTGTTAGTTTCAAATACAGAAATGTGTTTTCAGAAGCATTCACAGACATTCTATCCCAGCCATAAATTTAACCACAGAAAACAGTCTCTATTAACAAAAATGAGGGTGGTTTAGGAGACTCTTCAGATCCCTACAGCTTATTGGAGAGAAAATACAGATTTTTTTTAATTTTGCTAAGACACCACATAGGTTTAGTCATTGCAGTCTAATTAAATTATTGATTTAATTAGACTAGCATGTCTTTGAAACAAGAAAGTAATTATTAATCACAATAAAGAAAGATAAGTTTCTCAAACACACAAATGAAAGTAAGTGGTGCTCAATGCACTTAAACTCAGCAGTGCTAAGAGCTTCCCTAAAATTCCCTTTGCCTGTATAGATGAGGTATTTTGTTTCTATCTACAGCAAAAATCTGGAAGTTTCGAACTGTAGTGAACTGTCAGAACCTGGTCTGGGATAAGCTTAAATTCTGAAAAGAACACTGTCTCTATGAAAAATGGCATCTTAATCTTTTTTTTTCTCAGAGTTTCTTCTGCTTCTTGTTAAAATGCAAGAGGGAGAATGGCATGCTTATAAATTCTACTTGTATTTTAACTTTATAACCTAGATCTGACAATGCTGACATGAGCAGAAATTGCTCATGCCTTCCAGGTTTGCCGTTTAATTTAGCTCTGCTCTCAAACAGATCCATCTGGCAAGTTCTACACTCCAGTGCAGACATTGAATTAACCCAGATGGTACACTTCAGAAGTCTTACAAGTTTTTATAACTTGATAATTTAGCATTTTGGAAAAATAAAAATAAAAAAAAAATATTTCAGTATTTAGTTATAATTGTAGCATTGCTTTGCAAAGCAGCAGAGGAAGCTTTAAAATGAGACAGAGGAGGGCGGGAGGGATGGCAAGCCCTGAGCTCTCAGGTTTAGGCAGGATTAGTGTTCCTGTTCAAAAAGGAGCAAGGGATGGGATGGGTGTGAACCAATTGTCCTTTCATTGCTGATACACAGATCTGCTCGCTGATAGGAGCTCGGCAGCATTTGAGTGGTATTGAAATGGGAGAAACTACTAGTAGCAAAGAAAATATAAACCTAAAAAGTACATTTTTTTCCGAAGTCTGACCATAAATAAGGAGATGAAAAATTACACCAAATAATCTGGGATGTAACGAGTGAAATGCACCAGAGCCAGTGGTCTAGGAAGTTTCAAACCTTCGATTTCAATTCTGTAACTTGCACGATGTCGTGGGATGCTGGGGACTTCTCGGTTTTAAGTTCCCTGCGGGCGAGGGCGCGGTCCCTTCGTACCAACAACTGCTGCGATGGCGTTTTTAAGCGGGACGCCTCGCAGGACGATGTCGCGGTGCCAGAGCCGTGCTGGGGCGCGGTGATTCTCTGCGCCCGTGGGGAGGAGGAGCGCGCCGGGGCTGCGCGGGGGCGGCCGTGCGGGCCCGTCCCGAGCGGGGGCCGGAGCGAGCTCTGGGTGTGTGTGACCGGCGGAAGCAGTCGCTCCACGTCCGGGTCGGGTGGCGCTGGCGGGGCGATGCCGCTGGTGGTGGTGTGCGGGCGGCCGGGCAGCGGCAAGAGCCGGCGGGCGGCCGAGCTGCGGGAGGCGCTGGGCGGCCCGGAGCGGCCGGCGCACGTCGTGGCCGAGGCGGAGGGCGGCCGGGCGGCGCTGCGGGCCGAGGTGGAGCGGCGGCTGAGCCGGCGGGACGTGGTAATCGTGGACGCGGGCAACGAGCTGCGGAGCATCCGCTACGAGCTGTACTGCGCGGCGCGGCAGGCGGGCACGGCGCGCTGCCTCCTGCACTGCGCCGGCGGCGCGGGCGGCCCCGACGAGCCGCCCTTCGAGGAGCCCGACCCGAACTGCCGCTGGGACCGGCCGCTGTTCACGGTGCGCGAGGACGAGCCGCTGCCGCTGGGCGCCATCCGCGCCGCGCTGTTCGAGAGCGCCCCGCCGCCGCCGCACCGCGCCACCCGCACGCAGCCGCTGCAGTCCTGCGGCTTCCTGCACCAGCTGGACCGCGTCACCCAGGACGTGCTGGCCGCCGTGCTGGCCGCGCAGAGAAGCGGGGCACAGCCCGGCGAGACCATCCGCGTCCCCGGCGTGGCCGAGGGGCTGGTGCTGAGCCGGCCCGTGAGTGTGGCCGAGCTGAGCCGGCTGCGGAGGCAGTTCATCAGCTACACCAAGATGCAACCCAGCGATGAAAACTTGCCCCAGCTGGCCAGCATGTTCCTGCAGTACCTGAGCCGCAGCATCCAGTGAAGTGCCACCTATGCCACCCAGCAGTGGCGGTGGTCCGGCCCCGAAGTACTTGCAGCGGGAAGAATGTGCCTTCAGCACAGACCCTGCAGAGCCTGGGTCCCAGCCGCTGGGGATAACATCACTTGGCAGCAGCAACTCTGAGAAGATGGGCCCGTGTCCCTGCAGCAGCCGAGCCAGCTGCATTGCTGGGGAGATCTCTCGGGAAGCAGTTCCTCACCCCTTGCATTCTCCCCGCTGCCCTCATGCAAGAAGGAGAGCTACTGTGCATCCCCAAGCGAGGTCTCCTGTGGAGACGCAAAGCCCTGTAATCAAATAGTGTGACATGAAAGGTCAAAAGGTGATGACTGTAGGGAAAACTTTTCCCTCCACATTGGCAGGTGTATGCCTGGAATAAGAAGATTGTTTTTCCAGAGTTGCCTCCAGATAATGTCAGACTGCAGAAGAGACTTCAGGTCCAGAACTGGAACAGGCTGTATTTTTAGGATGTGACTGTTTCAAAGAATCTAACTGGGCCCAAGAGAGATTTTCAACTCTGCACTGCAAAAGGGTGCTGGCCTAACAAACTCAAACTTCTCTGTTTCAGGTCTAATAATAAAATGTGTGCCTTAAATGGAGTAAAGTCTTAACTTACCTGCAGGGCTATTTTACTGAAATAACTTGGCAATGAACTTTTTTATTCAAGGTCATCATTATACACCCTTAAAAACACAAATTGCTTGAGTGTTATAGGAAAAATGAGCTAAAATGACAGTGTCTGTTCTGTGTGAAACTCGTAAGTCTGTACTGGCTGTGTTGGGTAGCTAAGTTTCCATTAATTTTGAGTACAGCTTATATAAAATTCTCGCTTTCTGGTGGATGCTTCATTCTAATAAATGGTGGCTTTTGGTTTTAATTTTATGTGTAGTGCTCACTGGGATGAAATACTGAATTTGGCCAGGAAGGGTTACTTCAGTTACAGTGTGTCTGGCACACCAGCTGTTAAGGGGTTTTACACGCTGCAGAACTGAGAAATTACTACAAAAGTGTTTTTATGTAAATGAGTTTATCTTAGCAGTCAAAGTAAAGAGAACTAAGCTGAGAAAACACATAAATTATGTCAAACCTCTAAGAGTTGGTATTTCAAGGATGTGAGCACTTTCACTTTTAAAATTTCTCTTTAAAAAGTGTGTGGCAGTACCAACCACCAGACGATTGAAATCTTTCAACATGAATCACTGATCTTTGATAATAAGAACAATCTTAAATCCAGGTTTAAATCTGCCTCTCCTCAAGAAGGAAGCAAAATAATTTGTTTTGGACTCTATAGAAACAATGAAAAGAAGTGTTTTTCATCATCAGGGAGAGGGCACTGACGCAGTGCAAGCTTTACTAGGGAAATGTGTGTTCTTGCTCCTTACTGCAAACAGATATAAAGTTGATGACATATGCATTAATTATAGATGACAGATTTGTGTTTGAACAATTCTAAATGTTAATGGCTTCCTTTCCACCCTTACCTCATTCTAAAGTTCATTACTGAACACTGCTAAGTGGAGATTTCCTTTCGTATCTATTTAGCTAGAGAAAAACTCATACTAGTTCTGCTAGTAATTAATGTTGTGTGCAAAGGTGTTAATAATTTATGTGTATGAAAATGTGACTTTATTTTTGCCCCGTAATATGGTGCAGAGTTTAGAGTCAGGGAAAGCTTACAGTTTGCTTTGCTTGGCATATCCTGAAAGAAGTATCCATATAGGATGTTCTCTCCAGATTCCTTCCTCTCCTTCACCTAGTTTTAGGCTGTTCTTGCTGTTCCGGAAGCCATATCATTATTATATGGAAACTTAACCTCTGGGTAGCATAGCTAGTAAAGGTAAAATGAATTATTTGGAAAGAGTGAAAGCAAAAACAGCTTTGGTCCTTTTGTGTTTGTTGCACTTCATTTAGGCTGCAGTTCCTTACAGACCCCCTCTCTTTCTTAACCCTGGTACCAGACACATCCCTCACAATTAGTTTCAACATACAAATGTGTAGGAAGCCATGCAGGCAGCCAAAGGGTTTGCTGGGTTAATGGGTTTGCTGGCTGTTCAGTGGAGGGCCTTAGTCACAGGAGGTGTCTGTGACATGTGGGCTGAAATGGGCAGAGATTGTCACCCACTGGATTGCCTTAAGCAGCCACAAAAATCCATCCTGAGATCTCTCAAGCATCTGCTGTCATTAACAATTTCCAGTAATCCAGAAAAAAAAAGCATAACCAGTTGTGTATCTGAGAAATCTAATAAGAGAAAGTCTCTTCCTCTACACAAGCAGTTATTGTCTGGCAGCTGTAATAAATTATTATATTATACATTTTAAAATTGGGAAAACTTTTTGCAAGACAATCTTAGAGCATCACATAATCTCTTTACATCTGACTTATTTCCCATTACATTTAGTCTCTGAGGAAGGCTTGACTGTTAAACTGTACATGCAATAGATTTTCTTTGACAATTTTCTTTCTTCTTTTTGTTAGTGGTTTGCCTCTTATGGTTATCATTCACAAGTCCTGGTGTGGAGCTTGCAAAGGTAAGTGCATCGAATACTAGAGCTTGCTGAAATTTCTAATGAACCTTTGTATAAAAATCGTGTAGCCATGAGAAATGTGAACTCTGCATCCAAAATGTAACTAATGGTATTTGTATTTCATTGAGTGGCACAGTATGACAGTGCTATAGCCAACAAACAAGCTGTGTGTATGGCTAAGCCTTAAAGGATGAGGTAGTTGAGTGGGAGTGGTGGTTTACAGCAGGATTTGTGCTTCTGTTTCACTGGATCAAATAGAACCACCTCTGTTTGTTGGGCAGGCTTCAGCCCATGGCTGCCAAACAAGAATTGCTTCAGGTACCTCCTGTTCCAAGCCTGGCTGGAAGGGTTGGATACATATATCCCATTTATTCACTGCTTATTGAAAAGTGCCACCTTTCCAGAGTGAGGGATGAAGTGGAGATTTTGATACTCACCTGAAAATCTGAAATATTTTCCACTGGTTTCACATACCTCTTATTTTTATGATTTTCTTTTAGCTTTAAAGCCAAAGTTTGCTGAATCCAAGGAGATCTCTGAACTTGCCCATAATTTTGTTATGGTCAACCTTGAGGTAGGCTTCCTTCTGCTCTGTACTGATGTTCTGCCTAATCATTGAAGCATTTGGAATCTAATTCAACTGGTTACAACCTGTTTTGTGTACATCCTAAATCCTGCACTTCTGAATAGGCATTCAGGATTGATTGATAGAACTCATTGTTTTAAAAAGACTTCTTTTCCAGTCTGGTTATTTTAATTGTGTTTATAAGCCTGGCTCTCTGCCATTGTCTTTTTAACAATTTGTACCTTGTGTGAATCAGTTTCCACAAGAAAGGAATTTATATTCATTCTCTCAGTACATATCAAATATTCCTTTACCAGAGTGGGGTGGGTAATGCAAATTGACAGACCAAAAAAAATATTGTTATTTTCACAAATGATACTTAACATAGGTAAAAATAGCTTTCTTTCCTTTGAAGAGTGGAGGATACTGCAGTTATTTAGTATCTCTTCAAGATGTAAATTGCTCAGGGTAGAAGGAATCCAAAGGCAATAACTTGTTTCTGTAAAAGGCACCATGCTTTGTTAGATGTCTTGCTAATATATTTCCTCTCTCCTGGCTTGCTGTGGTAGGATGATGAAGAGCCAAAGGATGAAGCCTTTAGTCCTGATGGAGGTTATATTCCCAGAATCCTTTTCATGGGTAAGGCACCCACAGCTGTTGTGTCCATTCACAGCACTGGGTTCTTACTGTTTACATCTAAATTTCCTGTTGGATTTCTTATTTCATAGACCCAAGTGGAAAAGTCCATCCAGAAATCATAAATGAGAGAGGAAACCCCAGCTACAAGTATTTCTATACCAATGCTGATCAAGGTATGTGCCAAGTTGTTTGAAGTGCATTTTTAGTGAGATGAAGGTTTGCCAGTGAAGAGAAATGGTGTTATTTTAAAGTATAACTGCGAGTAGTTATACAGTGTGAGTGAGTGATTCTTTAGTGCTTCAGGAACTACATTCAGAATCATGATTCACCTTAATACCTATTGAAAGTCTAATTTTGTCTCCAGTTGTGGCATGGGAAATCGTGGGATTTGCAGGATCCAGCCACAGATAGTTGGAAAAAAGGTGCTGGACTGTTTTTTTCTAACAGATTAATCTGTAGATTACATTCTGTAACTGTGTTGTTTTAAAACACTTTCATTACCAGTTCACCTTGATATTTTCAACCTGAGATTAATCATCGGTGTCTCTCTATGTAATCTTTCAGTTGTCCAAGGAATGAAGGAGGCCCAGGAGAAGCTGACAGGTGATGCTTTCAAACAAAAGCACCTGGGAGATGAACTATAATGAATGAATACACTGAATGAAACCTTTTCATCACTTCAAAACTGAGAGGAAATGATTAAACAGACCAAGAATGTAGATGCACTGAAGGGACATAATTCCCCTGTCAACAATGTTAGGTTAAACCCTGTTTGGAGTTCACACACACACAACAGTTACAGTGTTTTCTCTGCCTGCTGGTTTGCACTGTGGTGATTCTTTGCAACTGGGTAATGTGCAAACACATCTCGTTGTGTGTTTGAGCAACCACTAATATTTGGTGTTAAAAGGGAGGTGTGTAGGGAAAACACTTTTTTGAGGACAGTGTGATGGGAAAAACTAGAAGTAGCCATCATTTTGACACTAATCAGGGTTGACTCTCTCTTTTCGCACTGGTGTTATGTGATCCCATAGTTTTTACTGGGCATTCCCATCATTGGGCATATTCCTGGGCTAGATCTTTTCTAGATATCCAAAACCATGAATTCTGCCACTGCACCAAGTACATTTCATGAATGTTCAAGTAGCATGTGAATTATCAGCTCTGCAAATGTATTTTTGTGTAAAACTCTGTGATTCATCTTTTTTTGCCTTTGGGCAAAAATTTAACTTTTTCCTTATGCACTCACCTTTTGATTGTTCCATCAAGTGAGGGTGGGTTATGTTGAAGCTTTACGGGGTTTCCCCTTTTATTCTTTGAATGTTTTTGGCGAATGCCTTGCCATCACATTGTACTGTATTTTTGTACCAGGGTGAAAAAATTAAACCTTTTTAAACATAAGCATGCAGAGAGTGTTTTGTGGTTAAGGGTGTAGCTTTACATTCTTAAGCATGGGAGGATATGTTTTTGTGTTGCAGTGATTGTTAATGTTGACTGTCACAGCTGAAGGTTTCTCCTTTTTATAATTAAAAGATATCATTTGTTCTTCCCTACAATTGCAATTCAGCCATTCTTACACTACCCACACTGTTGAAGGCAGTGTGTTTATTTACTGGAACTGAAGAGAAGAACAGAGGGGAGTAAAATCACCCCTCTTGACCTGCTGGGGACACTTTTCCTAGTGCAGCCCAGCATGCTGTGGGCTTCTTTGTCTTATGGCTGTATTGCTGGTTCATGGTTAGCATGTTTTCTGCCTGGATTCCCATGTTCTCGTGTGCAGCAAAACAAGATTTCCAGATTGTACTGGTGCACAGGTTGTTCCTCCCCAGTTTAAAGACTTTGAATTTCCCTTTCTTGAACCTCCTGACAACCCTCTCTGCCCATTTCTCCAGCTTGTTAAGGTCTTCAGTGGCAGCACAACCACTGTTACCTGGATAGCAGCTCCTCTCTCCAGCTTTATGTTACCTTCCAGCTTGCTCAGAGTGAGGTGTTAAAAAGTACCAACCAAGGGTACTCTACTAATGATGAACCCTCTTCAGCCCAGCTGTCCTGCCAGTTTTTCATCTGTCCATTTATTTAGGTTGTACTTCATCGGTTTGTCAATGGGGATGCTCTGGGAGACAGTGTTGAAAGCCATATAAAGCCAA